GGAAAAACTTCTTCCCCCAAAGGGCTGCCAGGCCCTGGCCCAGGCTGCCCAGGGCAGGGGCTGAGTCCCCATCCCTGGAGGGATTTAAAAGCCAGGGAGACGTGGTACTTAGGGACAGGGTTTAGTGGTGGCCTTGGCAGTGCTGGGTTAACGGTTGGACTCGATGATCTTAAGGGTCTTTTCCAACCTAAATGATTCTATAATTTTTGGAGGATAGGTTAGTGGGGGGTTTTGTCTTATGCTTTTAGTCTCTGAAGTAGTGTGGAACCTTAAAAACAAAAGGTCCTTTTAGATTGGTTTAGTAGACACGGAAAGGTAGCCGCAAACCCAAAAATTTCAGAAATCTGCATGTACAATATTTCACTGAGTAGTTTGTGCTTGTTCTCTCCAGTCCTGCTTTTATGGATGAGTATGAGAAGATGGAGGAGCAACTGCAGAAACAATACAGCAGTTACCTAGAAAAATTCCGTAATCTGACCTACATGGAGCAACTCCTGGATGATCATCGACGGGCAGAGCAAGAGATGTTTGAGGTAAGACAGCTGAGGAATTCTCAGCAAAACACTATGTCCTGTAGCTCTTGGCTTTATAACAGAAAATGTTTTAATACTCCTTTTGTCGAAGCGGCGCATCACTCGTTGCAGAGCCAGCTCTGAGTGACTGGCAGTTTACTGACAATCCAGTAAGCGCGACTGCTCTTGGACAAGCATGATAATACAGCTTTATTTTTTGAGTTAGTGAAGTTAAACCAGTGTAGCGATGCCCCTTTCCAGTCTCTGACTCCCCCTCACTCGTTTTCAGTTGATGTTTTTTGTTCACGAAGAATGTTTTCAGCATTTCTAATCTTCCTTTGCTACATGCAACATATGTGCTTAAGTGCTTATTTTTATCATCTGCGAACGACTGATGTATAAGGGTTTCTCAGCACAAGGCTCTTCAATTTCCTCGTACTAGTCCTCTTCAATGAAAACAGCAAAGAGTATCAGTGAAAAGATCAGATATGCTGGAATCCTCTCTCACATAGACCAGTTTTGTTTGCCAGAAATTCTGTTTTCTGTTGACTTGCTGAATTGTATCAGTTCAGTGCGATTCTCTATTTTGTATCCTGCTGGATAATCTTCATCCGTATCTCGCCTTGCTCCATACATTTCTTTTGGGTGTTTCTTGGACTGCAGCACTTTCAGCCAATCTTTCATTCTGCTCTCTATAGCTTCATGTTTTACTTGTTTGGCTTTTCATCCTTCTCGCAGTCATGACCCGGTGTATCTTCTGTTCTTTATTGAAAACATGTTTCAGTGAATGATCTCCCCTTGGACCTTAATACTGGTGGGTGTGCTATACCTTGAGTTAACCGGTGCTTCCTCGTTCTGGATCATCCTGTCTTTTGTATGCAGATCACGTTTTATTTTGTCAACTTACTCTTCGTCCTGGCAGAAAAATGGGAGAGCTGTGCATCATGTTCCTTCTATCTGGCTATGACTGCATGTTTTGCTTTTGCCGTGTCTGTGTGTGTCTACTGATGTGAAAACAAAGTAGTTTGACCCCAAACTTTTTAGTCTTTTCCTTTAAAGTATTCATACCTGTGTTTAGTAAAATTTTGTGGCCTGTGCTTAGGCTGCAAAAAAGGCTCAGTAACTTTATAGTCCCCCTTCTCCTATAATCTGCCTCTCTTGCATCTGTGAGATCTCTTTTTAGAAAGCCTTGTCATTCTGTGGAACTGATTGTGCCGAGAAGCCTCTCCTTTGATGATCGCCTACGCTCTGTTCCTGCGTGTACAATGTACAGGGGGCTTCATAACCAGGCTTCAGGCCTTTCTGCAGTCTGCAGAAAATACGGGAATTTCCATCACCTTTGGGACATAGGAAAAGGCATGCTGTTTTCTGTTGAGAAGGCTCAAATATTTTGCTGCATTATTTGCTTAAAGGATAAAATAACCCGTCTTTTAAAAGATAACATGGGCATTTAACAATTTGTTAATCGTTGTGAACCAATTTCCCATTAACCTCCCTTTTTATAAGCACTGTCTCTGTAGACGTTATTTCACGTATTTCTAATCTGTAGTCAGCTTGATATTTTCATGTGTCTTGTTTTATAATGTTCTAGTTCTTCCCCATATCTTTGGCAAAAAAAAAAAAAAAAGTCCTCAATTAAATCATGACCTTGAAATGAAGCCTAAAATCTGGGTTTTTTCCCTTCTGTTCAAATGCCATTGAGACTTAATACCAAAAGTAGAAATGTTTTGAACTGAGCTACCTGAAACTGTTTATAAATTCATGCACAGAAGTTAGTAATGAGTTGGCGTACAGCTCTTCAGGGGATTTTTGTTAAAAGATAATAAGAGGAAGAAAAAGCCTTTGTCATTCAGGGCTGTGCCTGTGCTTAGAATATGGAGAACACTTTTTATTTTTCTCCTTCTTTCTGTGAGACGTCTGGAAATGTACCCATATGGTTTGGCTTTTCATTTATTAGGATAAGCAGGTAACAATGCTTCAGCATTGTGCAGAATTAAAGAGTATAAAAGCTTGTGACAAAAAGATGTGGTTTTTCTCTGCACGCTTCTGTCACTTGTTATATGTTACATGCAGTATGCATTAGCAGGCATCAGAACTGGAAACGTCTTTAAGATGTATTTTATGCTAAAAGCAAAATGCCGTCAGGTCTTCTGCGTTTGGACTGCGTTCTTGCCACGTCTGGTGGCCTGTGCTTGGGTGTCTCTAACGATGACCTCAGGTGATCAAGTTACTCGGGCTGAACCCTATATCTGTTAAATACGTTGTGTTAGCTTAAACCAGCGTGAAGTTTACCTGTCCAGTCTAGTTCTATAGCTGGAACTTAACCCTGAAGGTACCCTGAGATCATCTCATTCTGTCTGTTGAATCTTTTCACTAGGGAGTGTTCGGGAAGACGAAAAATAAAAAGGGGGAAAAAAGGTACATTTAACGGTTGCTCTTCAGAACTGGAGAGAGGAGCGTGGGGATCAAGAACAGAAAATTGGAGCACCTAAAAATACTTAGAATATTGAAAGGATGAGACTCTAACCATCTCTTTGTGGGCAGCAATACAGCGAGTCAAGTAGCCACGACTGCTTTGTTGTAGAAGCTGTTGCTTTGGTAGAAGAGGAGGCTATGCGTGTGTCTCTCTTACAGCCACATTTTCAGGAGTGCTGGAGTCCAAACTATTATTTGAAGTCATTATGAGCTGCCAATGCTCAAAATCAGGCTCCAGGACTTGGTAACTGAAAGAGGATGAAGAAGCTGCGTCCCAGCTAAACCCAGAGACTTGCTGGTCCACTCCTCTTTCCAAACCAGTGGGGGGACTTAATTATTTTTTGTTTTAAAAAAGATGGTACAGTGTTTAATCCATTTCAGATTAGTCTCCTGCCAACCTGGAACACCAGGGTATTTCTCTCACTTCTTCTGTCAGTCTTGATCTGCTTCTCAGGTGGTGCTTCATCGCCTTTGGCTACTTGTTGGTGAAGCAAAACTGTGGGTCATTTATTACATGCTTGAAAGAAAGCCGTTTGCTCTGAAATGATGCTGCACGTTGTCCTAAAGTTTATCATCTCGTCATTTTCAGAATCAACAGACGAAAAAGTAATGAGGATAATTACATTTAATCCATTTTAATACGCACTCTCTCCAGCTGTCAAAAAACACTGAAAATTATGTTGATTTTTTTCAACCCTGATTTGTCTTTTGTTCCACCAAACAAATCTTAATTATCTTCTGTAGTAGAAGTGAGAGTCGATTCTTTTATCATCGCTGTGTATTTTGTTAAATAGCTTGCCAGAAAAAAGCAACGGCAATGTAATTAGATTAATCCAGCACTCCGTGTGCTGTTCAGTACTGAGGACTGATTCCCGGATCCCTTTCCTTGACTGGGTGCTTGTTTTTAGGAGGAATTTTTGTTCTGATTGAGAGACCATTGCTGAATAACGAGACTAATCTCTAGTGCACTTAGACTGAAAGCTGTTTTGGTACCCTGCTGACGTTGCACAGCTAATGACCTGGGCCAGAGTGCATTTCCCAATTAGAAAAGTGATTTAAAGATTGTACCCAAGCGCACAATTTTAATTAAGTGACATTGAGCAGTTGAAGCGCTCCAGCCTTTCCAGACTGCAGTGCTGGTTGTTTGCCTGGATTTTTTTGGTTTGTTCTTCCATGTGGTAGGTGTACGGTGGCATGGAGAGGAGCGCGCTGTAGCTCCTGTTGTTGCCTTAAGCTTTCTGTTCCTTTTGCCTCCCGGTGTCCGTAATAATACGGAGCGGTGGTCGGAGAGCGATCGGCAGGAGTCTCCTGCCGGGCACTGGACCGAGAAATCTCACTTTGTGTGAAAAGGAATTTAAAGGGTCGGTGTTGAGTCTGACCCGAATGAATTGCCAGAACTGAACAGTTAATTGATGAAGAAATTACCACCTGCCCGTTTGATGTGGAAGCCCTTTGAAATGTATGGAAAAGATGAAATTCTTTGTCTGGTATCAACTCTCATTTGTGGAGATGTCAGAAGTCCTCACACGACTCTTCCCTTGAGTGAGTTTCTCACACTTATTGACAAACTGTCATGCGCTACTTATTATTGGATCCGAGGAGTTTATAAAGGGTCTTTTGTCTTTGCAGTTTCCTTAGCCTTTTTTCATTTTCAGCCGCCTCTTTTATTCTGTTTCTGTTCTCTTGTGCTGCTTGTGGAATTAATCCATCTTCTTGCATTTCCGTGCAGAAGCAGGGATGTATGTGCCATGTCTCCTCAAAGATTTCTTCTTGGTTTTCTACTTTGTAAAAAGATTCGGCACACTTCATTAATTTTTACCTTGTGTTTAAGATGAAATTGTTTCTGATGTTTAGACATGAAAGCTATTAGAACTTTGGCTGCTCTAAAAATCAAAGTTTCAGGGGTTTTCAGATTTAGGGGCTGAAATTTTCTATGGACTATAAATGAATGCCTCTCTTTTAAAGGACAACACAGACTAATACAGTTCAAAAAAGGCGTTTTTAAAACTAGCGTGTGTAATGCCAGAATAACTTGGCAATATCCTTTAGCATTTGCCTTTTCTCTAGACAGAATACGCTTATTCTTTCTTGTGCTTCTCAGAGGACATCCCTGAAGTACTTTCTTCTTCAGCTACTTTCTTCTAAGGTATTTTAAGGCTGCTTTTATGCTGGTGCTGTGAAATCTCAGCTAAGGAATACCCTGAAGTGGTGGGTACGTGGAAGAGGATGTTCTAAGCCACTCGGTCATTATCCTTGGTTTGGGATTGCTTAAACCATTTTTCTTTTCATCATTATGATGTTACTATCGGTACGCAGTCCATCATGATTAAGCAAGGCAAAGCCAAATAAACAGATTTTATCGTGATTTTCCCTTTGCAACCCACCCTCCCCAAATAAAATCCCCTCTTCATTAACCTAATGTTTTTTTATCAGAGCTCCATACCCGAAGCAGATGCTTTATTCTGAATGTGCGCGTAATAGAGAGATCCGAGTTCTGCTGCGGTCTGAGATACTCCTTGGTTCTGCTGCTTTTCGTGTCTTTTTAC